AATAGGGAATACGATGGCTTGTATGATTCTGACTTTTGTGCTGGGTTGCATACCTTTGCATTTTAGCATCTTTTCTAGTCAAAGGCTTTGCTAGTCTATAAAGCACATGCTGAAAGGACAAAGAAAGGGGTCCTAGAGCAGATCAAGCCAGAAACTTCCCTGGAAGACTGGGAAGCTGTTACAAAATACTGTAAAGGTAGTTGGAATAAAATAGATGGTTATTAAGAAAACCATTTGGAACTTAAAGTATAAGGAAGATCAAGATTAGCATGTCATATAGATGAATAACAGAAGATACAAAAGGAGTTAAATCAGGGTCCACCATAGTCGATAGGGAACACTATTTTTAAAGGACGAGTTGTATTTAATATAAGTATGTAAATGAAGGAAGAATATTAATAAGCTGAACTATTGATATTGGATGTGACGATAAGAGTGTAAGTCCAAAAGAAGGGGAGGAAGAAGAGGAAGGAAGGAAGGAAGGAAGGCAATTGAAAAACCAAATAATTACGGAATGTGAAACAATATACTCTTGTTGCAATATTGTTATATATATGAAACCACAATAAAAATTATGGGGGGAAGGAAACCAAAATTATCTGGAGGACCAAAGTTTGGGAATGACTGCAAGAAGATTTTGAAGGTGTCCAGAGAAGAAGAACCCATCATCTCTCTGGGTCATGGGTTCCAATGTCGAACCACTTTTATCCTGAAGAAGTTTCTTCTAAAGTTCAACTGAAATCTACTTTCCTGTAACTTCCGATCATTAGACCATTTTGCAGAGGAGAGAAGAAATGTGACTTACTTGACAGAGATGGAGAAATCTCCTGGGCTGCTCTCGCTTTCTCGGATGAGAAAGGCTCCCCGGAACTGGCGTTTTAAGAGGACCTTTTCTGCCTCTTGCCTGGAAATCTTGTCAGAGAACCACCTGGGTAAAAGAAGCCAGAAAGTGGTATCAAGAGAGCCCTGCCAAGGAACCCGATAACAAGGGACCCATGCCAATTGGGTGCCAATACACTTCTGGTCTCAGTTGTTGCCTGAGTCTTTTGGGAAGGGCAAGGCTCCTTTCCCCCTTCTGAGTTAATGGCATGCAAACCCCTTTTGCACTTTGAACTCAGTTTGCAGCAACTGAAGTAAGCTGAGGACAAAAGTGGGAGGAAGTGAGAGAAACTGGGACATTTTAAAAGCATTTGGAAAAGTGGGAAGGCAAAGGATTAATCAGGATTATCCCTGCCAGATTGGGGCAGTTGGATGGTATGCAACTACCAGGAGCTTGTATATACAATTGGCCCCCTGTATCCACAGATTCTTTATCCATGGATTCAACCGTCCATGGCTTCAAAATATTCAAATATATATATAAATTCCCAAAAGCAGACCTTGATTTTGGCATTTTATATAAGAGCCACCGTTTTAATTATCCATTGTATTTAATGGGACCTGAGCATCTATGGATTTTGGTATCCATGGGGGGCCCTGGAACCACTAATAACAGTTACCCTTGTATATAATGGGACTTGAGCATCCACAGATTTTGGCATGCATGGCGGGTCCTGGAACCAAACCCCAGCGGATACCAAAGGCCCACTGTAATGACATTAAAGCCCACAATTTTGGCTGGGGACCCTAATTCTTG